AACGGGTACTCCATCAGCGACATAAGCATTACGCTGTGGCCGTTGTAAAAAAAAAAGTAAAGTCCGATATGCCGCCCTCAAATTGTGGTCGAATTAAAAAAAACACCTTCGAACTCGAATATCATACAACATAGGCCCCGTTCGCTTCTCTAGAAAAAGAAACCAAAACACTGTAGCGGCTGGTTGTGTGAGAAAAAAATACTGTAACGGCTGGTTGATGAACAGTACCCCTGTAAGGAGGAACCAGCCGGCTGGTCTAAAAACCAGACCAGCGAACTGGCCGATACTCTCTTAATTTTGAAAGTTGGACAAATTACCCCTAAAATAGCGGCAGTGTTAGCGCCCGAACGTATGGATGGACGCACGCGTTCGGATGCCCGCGTCTGCACTCCGTTTTGCGAGCCCACATGGGGGCCGTGCTCGTCCGAACGTCGCCCGCGCCTCCTGGCCCCACACGGAGATCGCTCGCGTCCCCTCTACTTTCCTCGCCCAGACGTCTGCTGCGGCAGGTGGGTCCCCAGCCGCAACACCCAATCTACTTTTGAAACAGATGAAAACATTTACAACATACGTCTGAAGACAGATGAAATTAGCATGTGCAGCATCTAGATAAAATATTTGCAACATACGTGTGAAACATGTGCAATATCAAATAAACACATTTGCAACGTACATATGAAAAAATAGATGAAATATTTGGAACAGAATCTTGCAACATACGTGTATAGCCATTACAATATATGCAACATTCGATCTACTTTTGCAACATCCACATGAGACACTTGCAACATGCATATGAAACCCCTGAAACACTTGAAACATACACTTGCAACATGTCTGGCGTGACATTCTAGTGGATGGCGACCACCATGTGTGGCAAGTCTCGAGGCGGTCGTGAAGTACGGCACGGCCACGGTGCCCTTGCCGTCTCTAGCCACAGGAGGAGGCAATGAGGAGGACACCGGTGCCGACGATGAGGCGACGGATGTGCGGAAGAGGGACCTTGTACTGGTATCCGAAGCAAAAGCCATCCGAGGATATGAGCAAAACCATAGGCTTGGGGAGCTTGGAGAGCGGCCACATGGCAGCGGACGCCGCGGTCACGACGGTGAGGGATGAGCGGAGCAGGACGAAGGTCGTGGCGGCGGCAAGGGCCACGGTGAGGAGGAGCATGAGGCGAGGGGCGGGGGATGGAGGCTGGGGTGTGGCCATGGAGGAGGAGAGGCGACGGTGGGCCATGACGAGTCACTGGGGGTCCGGACCTCGATTGAAGGCTAGGGTGCGGGCATGGAGGATAGCGGAACGTGCGTGCGGCTGGCAGCTTGCGGAGTGGGAGATTTTTTTTGCAGGCAAAGTGGGAGTATCAAATATTTGTGAATACGTTGACGATGTGAAGTCACGTAGCGTCCGTGCGTCCGGACGCCCTAATCATAACACTACTGCTAAAATAGTCCAAGGTAGTTTCGAGGATGGTTTTGGCTAACGGGGCACATATGTGATGTGTGGACCCCACCTGTCTTCGGTTTTTTAGCCATGTCACCTTTATTGAAAATTTGGATTCCTAAATGATCTCAAATGGAAACAATTTCAACTAGAAAGTTTTAGATCTTGTTGAGTACTACAAACTTGGTATAGAGCATGTCTTCATATGATATTGTTTGAAAAAAATTCAAAACATTGAATTTCGTAATTATAGAATTAAAACAAAAAATTGAACCTCTAAATAATCTCAAATAAAAAAGTTATCAACTAAAAAGTTATAGATCACGTTGAGATCTACAACTTTGATATGGACAATATTAACATCATAGGTTGTTTGAAAAATTGAAGAGCAAAATAAATTTCAAAAAGTAAGAATTTAAGATGAACATTTGGGCCTCTAAACACCATGACAAAAAGATTGTCAACTAGAAGGTGTAGAACATATTGAGGGCTACAACTTTTGTGTAGACCACGTCAACATCCGAGATAGTTTAAAAAATGAATTTCAATGTTAAAGAACTTCAAATGAATATTTAGGCCTCTAAAGGATGTCGGATAAAAAAAATCGTTACAAAGTTGTAGATCTTATTTGATACCATGTATACGAGGTCTTTTGGAAAAAAATAAACTGAATAGAGATATGAGTATATATGTAATTTTTTTAAAAGGATGAAAAAATATTTAGCGGCACAATTTTTATTAGAAGAATAAAAATAAATTAAGCGCTGGCCTAGTTTTATTTATTGAAAATTGGGCCCAAAACCACATAACTAATGTGGGTGCACACGCACCATCCTCGTAACTTTGGTACAATGATTGACCAACTAATTCTCTCAACTCCACTATTCGCTCTAAAAACAACTTGGCTGAACACAATACAACTCGACCGAATAAAAACAACCCACGGTTTTCAGCGAGGAAAAGAAAATCCCTTTCACGAGCACTAGCATAATAAACGACTCTACAACAACATGATCTTATCTCGAAGGTGATCGTTGAAGATAGTCCTTTGCTTTCAGGCTATGCCAAATCTTCCTCATATTACGTACGGTAATAGTGCCATAATGTGTCATTGTTACCAAACTCCGTCATGTGTACAACTGATGCAACCCAACTCGACCAAACAACTTGATACAGTCTAGCAGCCCATCAAGCAATCGGTTGCTCTTGAGCACAAGTGGGTGCCATGTTGTTTAGCTTGCCTAGCTTTCTTCTTCTTACTTATATGTAATTTTGTTACATTGATCTCTTAAAAAATCATAGAAGTGTACTTATTTTAGTACCGAAAGGATTAGTTCCAAAAACTCTGGTGGTAAATGGTATTGTTTCCCTGAAATGAAATCTCTCCCTTCCATTAGTTTGTACTGACATCTAATCACGTGCTCAAGAGGCTACGGAACAGTTCGTCGCTGCTCTATAAATTCAGCTACAGGTAGCAGCAGGCCTAGCACAATGTTGCTAAAGCTGCAGTTATTGGTGGGGCACTTGGGAATTTGTTATGGTATTTCCTGTGGAATTATGAGAGTAACTATAGTAGACCAGTAGAAATTTTGTTCATTGGTCCCCAACCTTTCCGGGAGAAACATCCCTCCCCGGCCACAACAGCCCACAGGTCCACAAGAACTGACTCGCGAATTGAATGGATAAAACGTACGCGTCCTGTTCCCTTGAGCGAGCGTCGTGGGGGGCATTAAGCTCTGAGGCCTCGCTTAGTTACTGTACGTAAAGTTTTAGGTATCGTATTGGCGTTACACGAGGGTGTCGCAAGAGTTATTCAAATACTAATAAAAAAATAAATTACAGAATCCGTCAGTAAACCGCGAGATAAATTTATTAAGCCTAATTAATCTGTTATTAGCCCATGTGTTACTGTAGCACTTTATTGTTAAATCATGGACTAATTAGGTTTAAAAGATTCGTCTCGCAAATTAGTCGCAATTTTTGCAGTTAGTTATTTTTTAGTCTATATTTAATACTCTATGTATGTGTCAAAATATTCGATGTGATAGGGTGTAAAGTTTTGGGATGGAAACTAAACAAGGGCTGAATCTACGTCCTGTTCGTTTAGGCTTGTTTGACTTATAAGTCGTATTTTTTCAACCAACGAATAATATTTTTCTCTCACACCAAATCAGCCAACACTACTTTCACTTGTCAAATAAACAGAGCATGCACCGAGCCATCTAGCACAGAGGACAATCGCCATGTACACTGCACAGATCAGGATCCCAGCCAGAATCGATTCATTCCTGCAATTAATTTCAATTCTGATCTTAATTACTTGCACTGCACCGATATATCATGGTTGATGCTGCTGATCATGACTGCTAAATATAAATCTGTATGGTTTCCTTCCCCGGGTCCTGCCCGCCGGTTGAACGACGACGACGACGATCCTAAAGTCAGTGATCCCGCTGTGGAAGGAGGTGGAGTACTTCAAGGAGTACAAGCGTCGTCTCCGGCGGCACGTGGGCCGCGCCAGGGCACGGCGCATCGTGTCCGACGCGCTGTACGTGGTGAGCATCGGCACCAACGACTTCCTGGAGAACTACTTCCTGCTGGTGACGGGGCGGTTCGCGGAGTTCACGGTGGGGGAGTTCGAGGACTTCCTGGTGGCGCAGGCGGAGTGGTTCCTGGGCGAGATCCACGCGCTGGGCGCGCGGCGGGTCACCTTCGCGGGGCTCAGCCCCATCGGCTGCCTGCCGCTGGAGCGCACGCTCAACGCGATCCGCGGCGGATGCGTCGAGGAGTACAACCAGGTGGCACGGGACTACAACGCCAAGGTGCTCGCCATGCTCCGCCGGGTCATGGCGGCGCGCCCGGGGCTCAAGGTCGCCTACATCGACGTGTACCACAACATGCTCGACCTCATCACCAACCCTTCCACGCTGGGTGAGCAGTGTACATCGATAGATAGATCTCCAATGCGTGCAATGCAATGCGAGCTGACCTGATGGATTGCCATGGCAGGGCTGGAGAACGTGGAGGAGGGGTGCTGCGCGACGGGGAAGGTGGAGATGTCCTACCTGTGCAACGACAAGAGCCCCCACACATGCGGCGACGCCGACAAGTACTTCTTCTGGGACTCGTTCCACCCCACACAGAAGGTGAACCAGTTCTTCGCCAAGAAGACGCTGGACCTGTGCTACCAGGAGCTCCTGTGATGCCTAGAAATGTTGCTACTAATTAATCGATCACCGTGTATAGCATAGCATTCCTCCCATTGTCGAGAACCACTCGATCGATGTACTGTATGTAGCATGGTTGCTCTGTCTGTTCCGATGCGTCGATTCTTTTGGGCTTAAATGATCATCAGATCAGAGAGATAAAATTTACACATTTGATCGAGAGTTACATTTGGTTCCGGCCGGACGTCTTTTATGCCATTTGTTTGTGACAGATAGATCGATATAGCATATACTAGTAGTGTTTCCTAGGCTCTTGGTGGTGGGGTTGATTAAGCAGAGCAGAGACAAACAGCAGCAGCAGCAATTCAGTTACGGAAGGATGGAGATGGATCACGCATGCACCGGTATGGACAAGTTGTTGGTGATGCAGCCCATCCTGAACATCTTGGCGAAGGAGCGCCAGAGCCTGAGCTCCTGGTGCGCCGTCACCGGCATCCCCTCCTTCACGCAGTGGTCGTACTTCTCCAGCACCGACACAATGTAGCTGAACTCCGGCCGCCGCGCCGGGTTCGCCGACCAGCACTTCTTGATCAGGTTGTTGAGCACCGGCGGGCACGAGCTCGACAGCGGCGGGCGCAGGTTCTGACGATCGATGAACACAGACACACCCAATCAGGCAATCATAAAAGAGATTCAGTTAGCAGAGAAGGAAACGAAACGAAACGAACCCAACCCATCAAACAACCTTCTCTGAGGCGGCGTATGCGGCCTGCACGGGCGTCATGCCCTGGAACGGGAGCAGGCAGGTGGTGAGCTCCCAGAGCACGATGCCGAAGCTGTACACGTCCACCTTGCGTGTGTAGGGCTTCTCCTTGGTCATCTCCGGCGCCATCCACCGGTAGGTGCCCTTGTTGCCCTTGGTGGCCTGGCACTTGGTCTCCAGGCAGGAGGTGCCGAAGTCGGCCACCTTGACGCGCATCTCGTCGTTGAGCAGCAGGTTCTGGGACTTGAGGTCCCGGTGGATCACGCCCTGCGCGTGCAGGTACTCCATGCCCCGCGAGATGTCCAGCGCCAGCTTCAGGATCGTCTCCGGCGACAGCGAGTAAGGGTCCTTCTTGTTCAGGTACATCCGCAGCGTGCCCTGGGACATGTACTCCGTGATGATGCAGTACACCGGCGGCTTCTTGCACGCCGCGATGAACTGCACGATGTTTGGGTGGTAGAGGCGGGAGAGGAAGGCGACCTCGGAGTTGAACTGCTCCTCGAGCTCCGCGCGGCGGGCCTCGTCGCGCTCCGGGATGCGCACCATCTTCACGGCCACGGCGCGCTGCTTGTAGATGCCGCGGTAGATGCGGCTGTTGGCGCCCGACGCGAACTTGTTGCCGATGAAGAGCTGCGACAGGTCGGCCATCCAATCCTCCGCCGCCCGCTGCGGCTGTCCTCGCCGCCGGGGCCCATCACCGTGTCCAGCAGCATGGACCACGACTCCATGCTGTCCCACCGCTTCTTCTCCATGTCGTCCACCTCCGGCGGCGGCCACGGGCTCTTCCCGCGCCCGGACGTCGACGGGGACGCCGCGAACAGGCTCGCCGCGAACGGCAGCGACGGGCCCCGACGGGGAGACACCGCCGCGGCCTGCTGCTGGTCCACGTCCCCGCCGCCGCCGCCGCCGAACGGCCGCGGCAGCCGGAAGCAAGAGAGCATGTGGGGCGCCAGCTGTATCAAGACTCGCAGCACGACGTCGCACACGGCATGCCGGCCGGCGACGGTACCACTGCTCCTCTGCTACCAACACGATCGAGGACGGTGCGACACGCCGGACGACGCCCGCGCCACCGCCACGGGCATTGCTCACCGCGCCGCCACCACCACCACAACACTCGCGATGCTTACTTAATTACAGGTCACACCAAATTAAAGCAAAGTATCTTCACCACGCATCAAGCTAAACAAGATCCCAAACTCCCACGCCGATGCAAGGAACGCCCAGACGGATGCCTACGCAATAATCCTGCGTGCTGCCGGCTACCCTATCCACAAAGCATGCATGCGCGCGTGGCACGGACCCAGCTGCTGCCCGCTGCTAGCAAGCTTCTTGGAGGATACAAATGGCGCGAAAGCGGATAAAGGCACGCACGCGCAGCGGGAAGAAGGGGACGCAAGCTAGCTCTTCTTCTTCCTCCTCGAGTCCTCCTCTCTTCTCCTCTCTGGGCTCTGGCACCCTTGAGAAAGCACTGGTGCTGTTGACTCCAGGCCGAGAGGATAGGCCGGAGGAGAGAGTAAAGGTGCTCAAGGATGTCTCGTGAAGATGCAGTTCAGAAAAAGCCGCACCTTTTCGGCGTCTCTTCCAGCGCCTGGATCGATCGGTGCATGCTCTGCTTCTCATCTGATCGGCCGGTGATCGCCCCCAGCTTCCGCGGCACATGAGAAAGAGAGAGAGATATCTCCAACGGAAAAACAAAACGCCGGGTAAAAAAGATGAGATATCTGCAATGGAAAAAGGGCAAAAAGCTTGGGATGACATGACCTGCAGCGAGACGCTAAGGATAAAATGCGTCGGGAAAGGCACGGCGAGCAGATATGCGCGCGCTCTCTCTACGTAGTTGCGCACTTGCGCTTTCACCGGTCGGCATGGAGTGCGTTCTGTGGCAAGGACGACGTGCCGCCGATCGTATGGCATCAGCGAATGCGTCATATTGTCATGTCTCGCCATTTCTGGCCAAGGGGGAGACGGCAAAGTCGGAGGCGGCAAATGCCAAATGGCTATTTCAAGGGCCGAACATCTTTTTCTGGGTCGATTTCGAAGGCTCGAATCTAGCCCATCACAGTGATGTGGACTTTCGTACACTGTGACATATGGCCCAACATAGTTTGGCATCGATTCTTGGCCTAAAATTCCCTTTGGGAAAAGAATTGTATTGTGCCCTCAGTGGGCAACATGGTGACCAGCAGCAATGCAGCATCCCTGACACAAGGTGGTACTCGCGCGTTGCTATGGGAACTCTGAGCTACCAAAAGGTCATAGTCAGATTTAGCTAAATGACATCACAATCTGTGTGTTAGTTGCATGCATGCTAATAAAATGATAAGAATAAGGTAATATATTCCCTCAATGTTTAAACTTATTAAGTTGTAATAATTGCTCATGTCCATGACTCATATGGATGAACACATGCGCACATCATACATATTCTAAAATCTTTTGAAAACCATATACTTGTATATCTAAGGCTGTAAACATTTCAGATGACATTTCTTTTTATCATGCGTGGGTGTACGTGGTGGAGGTGGATGCGTGGGCCAGGAGGGAACGATGATGTAGAGAGCCGTGGATTGAGAAAAATTGCTAGTGAGATTTTGCTTTATAAGAGTATAGGATATGATTCTCTGGAAACAAAAGGACAACGGTTGTCACGCTGTTTTTCTTCTTCCACGGTACTAGGCATTCAGACCTCGACAGAAATAAATCTAGAGAAAATACAAACTTCTATGCAAAGTCAAAAATTTAAATTAGGATGGAGGTTCTACCATAAGTAACCTAACCAGCTGAGCTATTGAGTTCACATTATGTCATTTTTTATGGAAATTATGTCATTTTTCTAGTAAAGAAAAATATTTTGTCTCTATATAAGTTATGTAGACAACCTGTCCATTATTTAGGCAACCTGTCCATTATTTTAATTGCCTACATAACTTATATAGAGACAAAAATATTAGAATGGCATAGCGAAAATAGTCACTTATTCCTAGCGAAAATCTATCCATGCTTGTGTTTAGTTAGGCAACCTGTCCAATGGAGATTAGAAGACAGTCTATTAGAAGATAGTCACTTATTCCTAGTGAAAATTTCCATTGTCACTCTCTCTAGCATACAACATGCACATCTCAAAGTCAGTCTATCGATTGGTAAAAACAAGTCAGTCTATCGCACTTTTGTTTTTTAAGAATGGCATAGAAGCGCATTAAGTAAATGCTCCTGAAAATAAAAAGCAATTAAAAATGTAATATTTTGTTGTAGAAAATCATTTTATTTCTGCATAACTGAATGAACCAAAAATTAAACTTGCTGGCAATTCAATTAAAGAGATCTGCATAACTGAATGGACCAAAAATTACCTCGAGGTAAACCGCACACATGGTCCAATTTTGTTAATTTGGCCACGTTGACAAAATTGAGCACAAAACAAAATATGGACATGCAATACACCTGCCAATTCATCCTAGTGAACTTTCAGACTACTTCAGATGATAAACTACACAATTTCTTGAGATCAACATCATTATCTTTAATCAACAATTTGTAAATAAAAGTTTATTGTGTGAAAATTATATAATCAATTTCACTTTTGGAAAATAATTTTTTATGGTTATGATCGATTATGTTGCTATAAACATCATAGTGTAAGAGAAATTATGAGGTAAAGAATAATTTTAGAGAGCTTTTTAGTTAGACCGCACATCCCATACCTTATATTTTGAACTAGAGGGGGGTTCTAAAGCGCTCATATTAGACTTCAAATTAAGTTTATAGACTTTCAGTTGAGATTTGAGATTCAATTTCCAATTCAAGTTCATGTGTGTTCCAAATGAGATTCAAAAGCATTAAGTTGAGAGTATTCAAATTAAGATTCAAGACCTTCCAATGGCGTTTACAAAGTTGTACATTATTTTTGTGGATTAGGAATGAAAATTGAAAACACTAACATGTTACAAGGTCCTTGATCTATTCTTCCTTAGAGCATCTCCAAGAGTATTTATTAAAGTCACTCTCTAAATTATCATTTGGATAGTCATTTCAATAAAAATCAACCTGTGTGAGTGTCGTGAAGTGTTTCTCTCAAGTTAGCACTTGGGTTTTAGTTAGCTTGAGCACTTGAGCCTTATCAAGCCACTCAATGTCGCATCCCTCTTAATAGTATGACATACCTATACTCAAGACAAGAATAAATCAATTAAAACCTCTTAAGCTTGCATGAATTTTCAAATGCCATTTATCCACAATATATCTTCATAAGGCTTCCAACCAACTTCCTTACAATGCTTGAGCACGTCCTCCTTAACTCCTTGAACATGTGACTTGTACCATTTGAACACATGTGAGTTCCATTCATGGCTTCAAGTCACTACCACTTATGATATAGCAAAGATTTGATCCTCCACAAAATATAACTCCTCATAGTTTGATTAGTACCTCGACTCAATGCAAGTACTCTTCTTCATCTTCTTAGCTATGGTCCATCAACACCCAAGCCATCACTTGCTCTTAACCCGTGCTTAGTCTCTCAAGATCTTTCCTTGCTATCTTCACCCCATCGATCCATCCTCAAGTCATATCATACCTTGAACTAACATTAAGCATTCATTTGAAGTCCCATATCAACATTATCTATATCCAAGTCATATTCCAAATGTTGTCCATCACAGTCTCATGACTTGGCTTATCTTAATTTGATTACATATCTACATATCTCGCCATATATGAATCAACATCAATATGGTCAAGCCAATTCACGATTCCTTATATCCTCTTCGGTTTGGCTTGACACCCTTAAATTTCATTTTTCAACATCTATCTTCATGATGTAAGCACAACCCTAAATAGCGAGACCATGGATATGCATCTGACTATGTCTCTTTCTATTTTTGAACCTTGGATTGATAACTATTCGTAATAGCACCACCCTTGATAATTTCCTTCTTCATTCTTTGAATTTGATCAATATCAATGCATAGAAGTCTTGTCCATAGAAGCAAACCAATATTGAGACCATCTTATATCCATTATATATTGTCTCTTTTGTCATTTGATCTTTGCTTGACATTTATTCACTTATGCACTCTTGACCCATTCTTCAGTACTTGATCGCTACTAATCAATTTTCAATCTCTTCATGTTCATGCAAAGAAAGCCACTTGTTGAAACCAAACTATATTCATTTCTCTATCTCATTTTGCCTTATCAAATATTGCTTCTTCTGATTGACATGATCATTTTCAACAGAACCTATTCAAAGCACATCAAACTCATTAGTCATTTAATTGGTTTGTCACTCAACCACCAAAACCCACTAGAAGGCCTAGATGCACTTTCAACAATAGGCTTTGATGATTACTTCCACCTATCATTTAGAAGCGCGAGTGTATGGTTTCGCTAAATGATCGATCGTGATTCCATTAAATCACTAGCCATGCATTGTCTACAAAGGTAATGATGCTAGTGTTGATCGAAGGAAAACTTAGGAATTGATGAAATTCAAATCCCTTCGGATCTTGCTTGACAAAGTCCTTAGTATGGTATCGATCTCTTAAGGATTTGAGCATAGTGCTTAGATTCTTAATGATCAAAGGCAAAGATTTGTATCCGAGTAACACTAATGGTATGTTTGTTTGAGCTATAACTTTTAGGCTTTTAGCTCAAAAACTGGCTTTTTGACTTTTGGCTTCTAGCTATTGACTTTTTGCTATTGGCTTTCATATTAGACTTTTAGCTTCTCAGCATACCAAAAGCCTAAAAAACTCAGAACGTTCTTTTTCAGCTTTTAGTTCATTTTCTCGGAAGCTAGTTTTCCAGCTCTGGATCTGCCCCTGGCCATCGCCACCTCGACTAGCACAAGGCAGCGGCCAGCCGGCCACGCTGTGCTCCACAGACCTGCCTGCCCATGGCAAATGCCATCTAGAATCATGTGGCCGCTGCTTCTTCAGCCTGTTCGCTTGGTCGTAAACGATCGTGGATTATAATTCAGAACAGTATTTTTCTTTCACAGTAAACCAGCCAGCAGTACTTCTGGCTTATAATCCACAATCGTTTCAGCCGAAACGAACAGGCCGCTTGTTGACTGGTGTCATGCTTAGCTTAGTCATTGTGAGTTGATTTCTATCTCTCTCTCTTTTACTTGATCATATTTTTGTTCGTTGAACGCCAATGCTGACTAATTAGATTGTAATTTGTAATATTTATATTTTCTAATTTGCCGCAGTAAGATTTCTAGATTGCCACAGGGTGACACCAATAAGCATTAGGTGGTGAGGGGATCGGACGAACATGCGGGTGCCGGGACGCCCGCTGAAACCGAAAAGGTCACTTGCTGAAATAGTGCAAGACGCTAGTGTGACCCCGCCAGCCCCACTGTCACTTGCTCGTCCGATTCGGCGCCGCGAGTCACCTGTGATCTCCGAAAGCGACGAAACGTTCCGTCACCGCGTCACGAGACGTCCCCGCCCTCGTTACTATTCCCGGGCGGCCGCACCTCCGAGCATCTCCACCGTCCGCTCCGCTCGCTGGACCCTTGAGGAACGTCCACGCGTCGGCAGCGCCCAACTGTCGGCAGCCGCGGCCGCCCCCGCGCGCACGCGTCGTCCGCGTGGCCGGCGGGACGGCGCGGACCGCGGCCACGTGCGTCGCCGGGAGGCTTATCTGGCGGCGACACGTCCGCGGCGCGCACCGTGCGGGAGCGGGACTCGCCTCGCACGGGCAGCTTTGCTGGCTGCCAATACCGTCGTTGTCTCGCCGGCCCCTCCACTTGGAGATCAAGCGCATCGGCGCGGTAATCCGGTCGATTAAAGCGTGCAATTTGTGCAAGTGCTCTCACGCGTCGCTGTCTCACGGAAATCAAGAACAAACCGGCCAAATAACCACGATTCTGCACGGAGATAAGCGTAGAGGAGCTGCATAGGTTACACACTGACACGGAGAATACCTGAGTTTTTTTTTACAAGGAGTCTACCTACGGTGGCGGGCTGTTCTGCGCTCTGAATCTGAATGGATTCATGGATTTGATTTTGGCACTGTTCGAAGAGAGTTTCAGTCTTTCAGAAGCCACGCCAAAAGAGCTAGTATCCCGAACTGACAGCGACTAAAACCTCTACTAAAATGCGCAATGATCTCTGCCGTCAGCACGGCGTGTGCCACCGCGCCACGTACGCGCACGCGGGCAGACGAGCTGGAAAACGCGCGCGCCGGCTGGCTGGCGATCCTTAGTTTTACCGCCACTTTCGGCCGTATTTGAATACTTGGTCGTGTCGAATGCTAGCTTTGTACTGAAAGCGTTAGCCATGATCGATGGCATCCGGTCGTGTCGTGCCGACCTCGCATGAATTCGCGATCAAGCAAACGCAGCGCGCGCGCGCCGAGTAAAGCTTAGCCGGCGGCTCCGCTAGCTGCTCGGAGCACACCCAGCACTGTGCTGCGCTCCGTGTCCGCGTGCGTGCGCTGCAGTGCTCCCTACTCTGTTCTTGATAAGACGATCACGACACCACGTTGCGCCCTAAAGCAGCAGCCCTAGTAGTCGCCTAGTCGGCGAGTCAGTCTCACATCACGCCGCGACGGGAGTGGATTGGACTCTTCTTCTTCTCGGCTCGTGTCCGCAATCGAGATTGTCGTGCCCGTGCCCGTGCCCGTGTCCGTGCGGCTTCTTTCGGTCGCGAACTCGCGATGCACCAGATGGAGAGCGGGATGTACGTGTCCGGCCCCGCGCCGGACAGGAAGCGGGAGCGGCGGCTGTCGTCGGGGTCGGCCGCCACGCCGCCGTACACGGGCGGGGACGTGGCGCGCTCGGGCGAGCTCGGCCGGATGTTCGACATCTCCGCGTCGCAATCGCAGGCGCCGTCGCCGGCCTCCTCGCGCCGCAGCTCCGGCCCGCTGCACCGGCCCTCACCGTCGCCGGCGTCGGGACCGCTGTCGCAGCTCTCGCACCCACCGGGGCTCCTCGTCGGGCCGTCCCCGTCGCCGTTGCCGGTGGTCGGGTCGTCGTCGTCGTCGTCGAGGAAGGGGAGCAGCAGGAGGAAGGAGGTGGGGACGGCCGTGGCGTCGCCTGCGCGCGGGAGGGCGAGGCTCGGCCTCCCGTTCGCGTGCTACGTGCTGGTGGCCGTGGCGGCCGCGGCCGCCCTCGGCGCCGGGGCCTACTGCCTCGTGTCGTGGCGCCGGTGGGAGGTCCTCGCCGCGGCGGGCGGCGCCGTGGCCGCCGTCGCAGCCGTGTTCGCGTCGAACGCGTGGCGCACGGCGGCCGAGGCGGAGAGGTTCTTCCGCCGGTTCCCCGACACGGTGTTCGACGACCACGGCGGGGACATGCCCGTCGGCGAGCTCGTCAAGATCACTGGGGTGAGCTCTGATTCAGCTTCAATCAATCTCCGAATTAAAATCAATCAGCTATTACCTTCCATCCTTGCTTCACTGTTACAAAATCTGTTATCTGACGTACGTACGACTCTGCTGTCGCTAACAATTGCATCGGTATTCTCCCAGTCCATGCGTGCCAAGTAAAACATTGCATTTTCCCTAAAAAAAGTAAAAAAATTGCATTCTGTGCAGTTCCGAACGTGACTAAGATCCTGTACTTCTTTTTTTGTTTTTGCCGGTCAAATTGTTGCTTCAACTAGTTTCATGTATGGTCAATGGTTGACTAAGATCCTGTACTAAGATCATGCGTCAAAGAATGTCAATCAAAACTGATGATGAGTTTCATGTATGGTCAATGGTTTTGATTGAGGAAGCCAAGCTACCAAACCACTTTTGCTTCACCAAAGCAATGCATGCGTTGCTTTAACTTGTTACTTGACCAAAGCAGTGGCTACAAACTCTAATCTGCTGAAGTATTTGGCATAACATGACCGGCTGACCGCCGTGTCCTGCCTCCTGCAGCAAGTTACCTGCGGTCGCCACCCGCTGGGCGCCAATTTCCACGACGCCTCCCGGTGCGTGTTCACGTCCGTTCAGATGTACGAGCGCCGTCGATGGGTCTGGTGCTGCTGCCGCCGCCGGTGGCGACTCAGACACTCCGAGGTCAACTCTCATTATTAGTGGCACCTGATGGATATGGTTCGCAGTCGAAGTGATGTGGCACCTGATGGACCCATGGCTGTTGTGTTTGTTGGCATCCCTTTGGCAGGCACGGGTGACGAACTTCTATATTTCTGATAGGAACTCGGGCAAGAGATTCTACGTGCGTGCCGGCGAAGGCGCCGTGATCACTCCCATGATCAAATACAAAACCATTAGCTTTGACAGCGACAAGAAGGGCGCCTCACAAAACTTGAAGAACTGGATGGCAACCAACGAGTTGTCTTGCAATGGAGATTTGCGTGTTAAGGAAGGGTAAGATCCTTCACAACAAATTTAGGTGAAGAAAATTAAAATCTCATATACCCTATAAATTGTGTTATCTCCCTCTTGCTAATTGCTTTTTGTTTGTTCCTCCCAAGTTTAGTACAATTTTTTCCCAAGTTTGCACTAGTAGAAGTTTACCTCTCTTGTAGTTTTGAGGTTTAGTGGCTTACACAAATTTAGGTGAAGGAATTGAAAAGACCATATACCCTGTAAACTATGTTAATCTCACACTCGCTAATTGCTATCTCTGTGTTCCTCATATCCTACTAGTAGTTTCCCACATTTGTACTAGTAGATTTTTTTTTCCAAGTTTGCACTAATAGAAGTTTACCTCGTTGACACAAATTTAGGTGAATGAATTGAAAAGGCCATAAACCCTGCAAAATGTGTAATCTCTGTCTGCCTTCCTCCCCTATCTCCCAAGTTTGCACTAGTAGAAGTATACCTCTCTGTCAGTTTTGAGGTTGGAGTTAGCCCATCACAATTTACAACTGCCAAGCACATAAACTCTACTGGGGTTGTCAGTTTATTGCACCTGTCACAATATATAGGTAGAAAGCCAAAATTGGTTTCCTCAAATATCCCATTGAACTTTGCACAATGATTTGTACTTATTTCAAGTTGAAATTTATAGATGAGAGAAGTCGAGACCAGTATGTCACAGTATTGATGTGAGACTGGAATTGCAAACACAAGAAAGTCATGCTATTTATTTTTTCTCCAAAATGATCATTACATTGCCTTCACAGTTAAAGCACCATTGTTCACTAAGGTTGCAACAAAATTTGATAGGTTAATCAGAGAAGGGGACATAGCAAGTGTGATAGGCATCCTGAAGAAGCATGCCTGTGACATCGTCGATGCACCAGCGGGCGTGGTCACCACCGGTTGCCAGCTGATCCGGTGCATGTTCCCTGTCTTCATCGAGGGGCTCATACTGATCGGGGATGAAGACCCTGACGAGACTGTATATATGGTCTGATCATACATACATACATACATACATACATACATACATACATACATACATACATACATACATACATACATACATACATACATACATACATACATACATACATACATACATACATACATACATACATACATACATACATACATACATACATACATACATACATACATACATACATACATACATACATACATACATACATACATACATACATACATACATACATACATACATACATACATACATACATACATACATACATACATACATACATACATACATACATACATACATACATACATACATACATACATACATACATACATACATACATACATACATACATGCATACATGCATGCATACATACATACACGCCCTGTCTATCGCGGAAGAGGAGTTTTAGTATCTTCCTTTAGTTTCTGATGAAAAGGATTTACTATTTACCTAGTTGATGGAAACGGAATGACCATGTAAATTAAAGTCGTATTTGTAGCTTGCCAGTAGCATAGCTGTTTTTTTTTCTTTTCAAGAGAATTACTCAATTGTTTGTTGGCTAAGGCTTGATGTTAATGTGCCACGCTTCTTTTGAAGTTTGGCCTGAACATTTTTTTTTTGCAGCTATTGCTTTTCCTGATTTAGAATAGGCTGGAGCCTTTTCATTCTTGCAAAACAGAAAGGGACTTGCTCTAAATTTCCATATGGGTCCTATTGTTTAAATGAGATTTCTCATCATACGATGGTAACTAGCAAGGTTATTAAGAAGAAAATTAGTAACCAGTAAGGTAGCCTGCGCAAACTTAATTTTTATTATGGAATTTGGTGTTTCCACCCTTATTTCAAACCCCAATGGTAATTTTACCCCTCTTTTTTAACTTTGTGTTTTTACCCATTTTTGAGTGAAGCCACCGTTACCCTAGTTTGTAACACCGTTGCTAATGGTCAGATTAAATGACAAAAAAAGGAAAAGAAAAGGCTGGGGGACAAAAAGACAGAAATGCCCTTCGGGGCTTTTCCTACTCAGCAGACTCGCATGAAATCGATTTCGTTCGCAAGTCGTGGTCGCTGCCTAGGGTTCCGGCATCACGGCTCCTGGTGGCGTGCCTCCCGGCGACGGCGTGGATCCCGGCGGCGGTGCTCCTTCTCCCGTTGCCCTCCCACTCTCCCCACCCTCCTCACCCCCCTACTCGCGATCGCGGGTGCCCGACTGGTCCTCGGCACGAGCATTCGGCCCTTTGCTCGCGGTCGCGGGTGCCTCTACGGGGAACGGAAGCTTTGCCGTGTGCCTATGGCACATGGCAAATAAACTAAAACACTTGGCAAACTCTTCGCCGCCGAGTGTAACACTCGATAAAGAGTACACGACATAAATTTATCAGCAAAGTCACTTTGTCGAGTGTTTTTCGTCGAACACTTGGCAAAAACGTCTCCGAGTGAAAAAAAACACTCGACAAACATTTTTCGCAAGAAATAAAAAAAAATTGCCACCTGCCGCCGCCCACCATGGCCACCACGCCACGCCAGCCTGCTTCGCCTCCGAGCGCGGAGGGCGCGGCGTCCCGCACCGCCGCCCACCACGGCCACCACGCCGCCACCGGCCGCCGCCCAACACGGCCACCACGGCCACCACGCCACGCCAGCCTGCTTCGCCTCCGAGCGCTGAGGGCACGGCGTCCCGCACCACCTCCAAGCGGCAAGGCCACGGCAGCCCGCGTTGCCTTCTCACAGCATCCGTGTGTCAGGGCCGCGATGACCTACGCTGTCTTCGAGTGCCATGACTGTGGCTGTGCCACCTCCGCGCGCCGAGAATGCAACGCGCTGCGCCATGGCCTCCATCTCTGCCAGGATAGGAAGATGAACTATGGTTGAGTCTAGAGAGAGAGAACAGAAGGCTGAGAAGGTGAGGAATGAAAGAGATAGCGAAGAGAGAGAACGGTGGATGAGAAAGAAATAAGGATGCATTGAACGGACGTAGCTTTATTGGGCTGCGAGTTGGTGGGTATTGATGCCCGCACAGGTGAGTGGCGGACACTCGGCAAAATTTTTATTTTTTAATTTTTTTCTTCTCTTTTTTTTAGAAAAAATATTTTTTTTTGTCGAGTGTTCTAGATTTGGGTATTCGGTAAAGTTTTTTTTAATTTTTTTCTTCTCCTTCTTTCATAGGGAAAATATTTTCTTTCTTTGCCGAGTGTTTTGGATCTGGGCACTCGGTAAAGTTTTTTTTTATTTTTTTTCTTCTCTTTCTTTTTAAGAAAAAAAGATTTTTACTTCTTTGTAGAGTGTAAAAAAAATACTCGACAAACACCATCTTTGTCGAGTGTTTTTTTCCCCGAGTGTTTTTAGCGCATCACTCGGCAAAGATCTTGTTTGCCGAGTGCCCGAGAGAATACACTCGACAAACATAAAAACACTCGGCAAATTTAACGTTTCCGGTAGTGCTCACTGCTCCCGGCGCGCGCCCTCGGCATCGTGGTGGGAGCTCGGCCACGCCTACCCCCCTCCTCCCTAGCGCCTCTCATTTGCCGGTGGTGGCGCGAGGTAGGGGCTGCGTGGCTGAGGGCTGCCCGCCGCCACCCCACATCCCCATGAGCCGTTCGGTTGCTCATGACCTCGACCTATGCCCCTGCCTCCCACCTGCTTCGGGATAGTCACCATGGAAGAGCCGAGGTATTTCACTAATTCATGAGATGTGTGTTTCAATGGGATGGAAAATAGTAGCGATTAGTAGATGTGTTGACGTGTTTATTCTCTGGTGTGATTTGTAGGCTAAGGTCCTGTCATTGGTCTCAAACTTGGTTTAAATGGCCCATTTGAAACACTGTTCTGGCTGAAATGTTGTGAGAGAAAAACATTGTTCCAAATGAAAATAGAAGCCAAACAAGCCAAGTTTGAGACCAGCCGAACGAGGCCTAAATCACATTGAATTAAAACTTGTTGTCGGTCATTTTTCAGTTTGCCCGACAGTGGACCAAAATTATGGTCAAAACAATGAGACAATGTATGTGATTTATGGCTACTGTTCGTTCCTATTTTTTTAGCAAATTTCAGCGTTGCCACCTATATTCAGCCTGTTCGGCAGCCTGTATTTGACTTATAAGCCTTGGTTTATCAGTCAGCCAACAATGTTTTTCTCTCACACCAAACCAACCAAAGATACTTTCAAATTATGGCTTATAAGCTAATCCAAATTAAAACGAACAGTTGATTAACTTGCTTTTACTCTATTTTTGTTAAGTGCAAGTGCTACAGGGAGGGAAAGGGGAAGAGGGTGAGGAGAGCCCAATAATGAGACAAAGTAAGACATGGCACCTTTGCTTCTCTTTACTATATATTTTAGTAACTTTACTAACATAATTATGCTCCTTTTTCATCTAAAGTGCAAGTGCTTCACGAAGGGGAACAGGAAGAAGGGGAACATGAGCAACTTCTGAGAGGCTGCTACTTTGTTGGGTTTCAATGCTTGATACATAGTTGCCTAGGAAACTCACTACTAGTTTCAAATTTTGTTGGACATATCATTTAGACCTATATGTTAGTGTTTGACATGTTATTTGGACCTCTATGTTGGCATCTAATATGGTACTATGATGGCATGTTATATGGATCTGGTTTGTTGCCGTTAACGTAGTATGTGTGAAGTTAATTTGTTGTGTGATATTAAAATCTATTTATATGGATTGTCAGTTGAAATGCTGCTGAGTTTTTCTAAAAAATCTATATACAAAATATCAACTTGCTGATATAAAACATGAATAAAAACACAAATATCATAATTAAATTGGAGTAAAAACGTATGGGCAAAGTTGTCCTTTTATACAAAAGTTAACACCGTTAAGGAGACTTCACATACCAGGAGTAGAGTCTCCCTTCGTTTTGAAAAAGCAGGGGTAAAATCACATCACAAAGTTGTAACACCCTAAAATTTGTATCATTTTAAAATAGATTAATTTGATTTATTTATATATTTATGTGTGCATACAAACATAGAGTAAATGATAAATTTTGTTAAATTAAAATCAACTATAAGGTCTAGCTACACGATTGTGCATACATGCTGCTGCATATTTATTTATGTGAAGTTTGGGTTTGATCAAAATTGCCAAAAGAATTTAAATTTGATTTCAATTTGGTTTTGAGAATGTGTTTAAGAAAAAGAAAAGAAAATTTTCCTCTCCCTCCTTTCTCTTTTGGCTTTTGGCCCGAGTAGCCTAGCCACCCAGCCGCGAGCCCACCCCTTTCACTCTCTTTTGGCCCAGCTGGCCTGCTCCTTCAACCACAGCCCGCTCGGCCTCACCCTCCCCGCAGCCCAGTAGCAGGTCTAGCTTCACTCCCTCGCCCCGCTCCTAGGCCAGCCCAGCAAAGCCCGTGTGGGCGCTCTCCCCCTCTCTCTTAGTGTTGACAACCCAGCCCCACACCTTGAGTCACTGACGCGCGGGGCCCACATGTCAGCACCCTCTCCTACCTTCGATCGTCAACAACTCAGACTCTGCTCTGAATTGGACACCGCTGCCGCCCCGATTTACGCGGTGTTTGGCGTGACCCGCATGCCGAGGCCCTCATAAATAGCAGCCCTGCGCCTGCCGCCTTTTCCTAACCATAGAGCAAGCCGCTATCCCGTTCTGAGCTCGCAGCGCCGCAACCCTAAGCGCCGTCGTCATCGAGCTCGTTTGTCGTTTCTTCGTTTCGCCGCCACCGTAAGCCCTGCTCCAAGCTTCGCGTCGGGTTTGCGAAGTCGCCAGACCCCTTCTCTCTCTTTTTCTTGCCCTCGGTTGCTCGCTTATCGTCAAAGGACTTTGCAGATCGCTGTCGCCCACCTTCTTGAGCTCCCTGCTGTTTCTGTCCGCTTCCCGTCGCCGTGATTTACCTTGGTGAGTTCACCGTTCCCTCCTCTTTCATTACGTACCGGTCCCGAGTCAAACGATGGTATGTATCGCTGAGTCAACGAACGTCGGCGAGGTCCATTCGTTGTCGGCCTTGGCAGCCGCCGCGCTGGCCATCTTCTCTGGCCAGCCGGGTTCTTCTCCTCCACGATCTAATCTGAGCCGTCCATATTAGATCCAACGGCTCAAATCTCATCATACCCCTTCGCTGCCGTTTTTACAAAAGATACCCTCCCTCTTTTGAAAATAGAACCTACAGTTCATGGCGTATTCCCATAATGCGTTTTCTCTTTTACAAAGCGTAGAATTCCTCTGTTAGATTCAAAATACGTTTTCTTTATTTACAATATTGCCACTGATTTTGTTTTGCTTATAAAATCTTCGTTTTAACTCCATTTTGATCCATTCAAGTTGCGTAAGCTACATGTTCATACCACTGTTACATATGTTTTCAACTTTTATAAATCAAGATTAGTTTTAATCTATTATTTCATTAACGGAAATCTTGTTTAATTCATAACTTCTTCGTTATAGCTCTGATTTTTGTGATCCTCGCGTTTGTGTGTTCATAGCAAGATGTAGATTCATTTTACAAACTTTTCATCTTGATTTTATGTTGTTGGTGTATAGTTTTAATCAATAGCCTTTGTTTGATATGCATGATTGCTTCTGGATGCTTGTATGTTGCTATGTTGATCGAGTATAGACGGTGAGCAATTAAATGGGTGATCAAGAGTACTACTTTGACGAGCAAGATCAGTAGGAACACTTTGATCAAGGCAAGTATAGCATGGGATCATCCTTGTTGTCCTATTCACATTAATCACATTTTAATCATCCTGCATGTGTATACCTTGGTTACCATTAAGGATATCCTAGCTTTTATATCTTGTACCTTGTCACCTATGGGTTTATGCATTGGGTAGTATGATGCTAGCGCTCAATTAAGACCATGATCTTGTAATTTGTCTAATGGTATATGCAATAAACACTAAAAGATGTTTTTTAGCAATAAGGAATAAGGGGGCTAGAGCATAGTTTTTATGGTGCTCTAGATTCCTCTTCTTAAGGTCTTATCTGTAAGTGATCATCCGAGACTTACAGTACAACTATGAGAGCCACATGGCTCTGGCTTGAGCTCAGTACAAGGACCTTTTCTAGCTTGTTAAAGGTTATCGAAAGGCACAAATGGGGTGTGTTTCGGATTGGGTGTAGTGCAGCCTCTGTCCTTATGTGTATAGCTTGCGCGGAATGTGCCATCGGGAAGGGGAGCCCTACATTTGCAAGGCACAAAAACCTAGCGGCCCTAACTTATTAGATGAACCTTTGAAAGGCTTCATAGTGTACCCTGCCTGCTCACCTTGGTAGTGTTTTGGGGACTTGCAAACCCTGGGCAAGTGGGAAACACGACTCACAGTGAAAGTGTACAACCTCTGCAGAGTGTAAAACTGTTATAACAGCCGTGCTCACGGTCACAAGCGGCCTTAGAACCCTTATGGAATAGATGATCACTATTAATTATTTGTTTATGCTATTCATTAATCATGTGTTTACTATGTGATTATGACAACTTGATGCTATTCATATGCTAAAATTGCGACAACTAAAAGCTAAATGCTGTTAAACCTATGTCAAGCCTTTTGAGCCTCATGAACTCATTGTTACACTTGTTGAGTACGACATGTACTTACACTTGTTTATTTTCATTATTTGGACAAAAATCCTGGATGGGTAACATATTGTTATGGTAATGATGACTTTTCTGAGGATACTAGTCTTGTGGTCAACCAGTTGACGTCCCTGTGTTATGGAGCTTCCGCGAGAGAGTTATCTTTATATTTCCGCTATAACTATGTGAAGACTATGTGATAATATTCGTGATGTAATAAACACTTGTGATGGTACTTTCTATAATTTGTCAGCTTATGTGTGTGACTAATCTCTGGGCGCACATAAGATTATGCATCCCATTTTATCCTTAAAATTGGG